TAATGCCATGGAATTCCTTTTTCTGATTCATGATGTATATTTTGATCTTATTACATGCCTTTGGAGTTTTTCAATATTGAAGTTAGTCACCATCCTTCATCGTTCTTAACTGTCTGGAGTGTGTGTAGCAATATTTTAGATCATATTCTGTGTTAACATGACTATGATAGTAAACTGTCATAAACTGGGAGCTATTTTCTTGTAGTAGTTGGGGTGTGGCCAAGTTGAGCCTAGGAATATATATATATATATATATATATATATATATATATATATATATATATATATATATATATATATATATATATTATGAAGTGCCATAACTTGTGTTGCCCCACCCCTGAAATAGGTTGGATGTATATATTGGCCGCTGGATACCGCCTAGACCAATACGCGCCGACATCCCAACATTTATACTTTTTCAGTGTGCTGTTGGTTCATTAGGAGTAATCCTTAATTAGGCGCATGACACGAGCGGTATGAGACATCAAGTGTCTTTTATTTTACTATCCCCTTGCGTGGGTCTCAGGAGAAAAACATGGTTTCAAACACGACAATCTTTGCCTTACAGCTTGTACAAATTTTGCGTTCATTGCACACCAAATGCAGAAATCAAAAAATGAGCTGACGGAAACTAAAGTAGAAAATGTAAAATACAAACGTGCAGGTACTTTAATGAAAATGTTCAGGCCGATACAAACTATTCCTGGAAACGTGCACATAAAAAACACCCCGAACATAACAGCGAAGAATTTGACACTTTTGAGTGCTGCCAGGAAACGACCTGTCAATATGGTGTTATTGCTAACGCCAATAATGTGCTGTCTACGAACAATGGCCGAGCTTTTGTGTCTGAACGCCAGTCGCGCTATTGCAAAATTAGAACTTAGAACAGTAACACAGCTTGATATATAAATAATGGCTGTTATACAGTAGTATTCTAATGGTGGGTGAGTCGGAATGCAGGAGTCGTGGTATTTAGCATTAGTGTAGGCCAGGATTGGGATAACCATGATACACAAGCCAAAAGTCCACGCACACAATATCATGATGTATATTTGTCGTTTTGTCATTGTTCTCATGTAAACAAACGGATGTGAGATATACATATAGCTTTCTATAGAAATAATTGTCATATGTGATAGATATATTGTAAGATAACCAAACCATCCACCCAAGATAATACATTGAGCCATATTACCCACGCGGTGAAACGTTAACATAACGGCTACTGCTGAAAGATCCGTGAAGGCAGCTAACAAGTTAGCGATGGACAAGGATATTGCTAGCATGCTTTTGTTCTGTGGCAGAACGAGTTTACTACACAACGTAAGTATAACCACGATACTATTGCCACACTGGAATACAGATAGGGGAATCGTTACATAAGCTACATAATTACTAACGTATGAAAGGTCTCCACACACATCAGAACCATTTATTGTCATGGTAGATTCTTGTAACTATTTAATGTATTACAGGTTATCGCAATCTGGCACATATAACACTACTGCAAAGATTTTGAAAAACTGACACACTGCGTCTCAATATCGGCGACAATTTTTGTGTTGGTTTTAATGTGTTTGTTTTAACCCTAGCTGTTGGCGGGGGCCCTAACATAACCTAACGGTGAAACGAGGTTTCTAGGACCTCTTCCATGGTAATGCTTATCCGCATTGTGGTATTGTGTGTCGTCGGGTGTTTATCGCTTGGTGGATATCCTGGTGGGGTTAAAACTAACTAACTAAAACTGGCACTCATGAACGATGAGGTCCAAAAACGAATTCACAACCTACAGGGAGCGCGGCAGACAGCTTGACCACTCGATCAATGAGAGTAAAGAACATATGAACTGTTAGACGTTGAACCTTCCAGGAGAAATGTCTGACCAGTTCAACATTACAGTCTCACCACGGACAAGTGATATAAATTGCGAATTTATGAAGGTAAAATTTCCCGTCAAATGTGAACAGTATTGAAAACACTTGATTATAGTCACTTCCGTTCGTCAAGTTAACTTACGTGATTTATTCACCGAAACAGTTTGTCGTCACAGCAACCTGACAACGAGCAGATGACCTACATAGCGACAGGTAAATGGCTCGATCACTCCATTACAGAGATGACAGGAATGCAGGACAGACATCGGATATAATTTTTCGCTAAATGTTTAATAAATTCTGGGTAATATTGCGTAATAACATAAAATAAAAAATAATTGATTGTGAAGCCGTTAATATGCCAGACCTATTTTCTGTCAAATAGAGTGTAATGGTCTTCTCCTGGATAATCTGCCACAAGCGTGTGGTTATGTAATCCCTGTCCGTGACGAACAGTTCTGTAAGCTCTTGATTATGTTGACTTTCGTTTGTCATGATTGCCCTGTGTGACTCGTCATATCCCCTTGTGATATCCTTTGTCCTTCATTCCTGGAGTTGTTTCAGTGCTAATTAATACTAGTGAACTTAGGTCTCAGCTGACAAAGATGAAGGACATTGGGATGATGTCTAACACGCTCTTTCTCATTGGGATGCAAACTGGGACCAGTGGCACTGTCAGAGGATATCATTGGCCACTGCTCTCCTGCAATTGCTAGGTCACGCTTAGTAAACAGACGTCAATCCCTCACAAACATGCACACACAAACACACACATCTGTGCACACACTGATAAGTGCGATAAAACAAGGTCTATAGACAATAAACAAACAGACAATAACAAGACAGGGAGAGGATATAAACACTGGCCACATAACAACCTGATGAAACAAAAATCCATTCAAGAGGTTTTGAAAGAGGCGGGAGCTCGAGAACAACTTATCACAGACATCAGAAGGAGACAGTCATCATTTTCCGGCCATTGAGACCAGGGAAAATAAAACATGTTCGTGCACTGCGTTAAGATTTGTCAGAATCAGGCTTGAATTACAAGTAGAAAGGAGCACTCACCGACATCATACCTGGTGCAGAATGGATACCTGTGCCTCAGGCGTTTATTTGTACATTTTCCTGTATTGTCACACTTAACAGGCGATGTAGAGAAGAGAATCCTGTTGCTGTTAATGCAGAGGTCAACGCTCTCATCGGTGAAAATTCAGACGAAGCAGATGCAATAATCTATACAGACGGATCCGTTATACGCCAAAGAAGAAGCGCATGGGCATTTACAGCACGCTCAGCGGGCAGAACAGTCAAAGAAGCCAACGGCGCCTTCTCCATGACAACCAGCAGCATGACGATGGAGGTGATGGCAGTGACACAAGCGCTTGCCTGGCTTGAAACACAAAAATACACCCGCGTGTGTATACTCAGTGATTCAATGAGTATGATCCGGAGGGGTTCAGGCAGGTTCAGTGCGAAGACAATGGCTTGAATCATTACAGAAGTCCACTGTCCGTGGAGTCACCTTTATTTTTGTTCCGGGACACGCAGGCGTCGATGGAAATGAAAGAGCTGACAGATTGGCTGGATCCGCTATCACTACCGACGGTCAGCCTATGGATCATGCTGATATTATCAATGCCCTCAGAGAAATGGGAAGGATAGACGACTTTGGTGGCAGTGAATCCACATCACTCGCCAGAATGGCAGACTTGGGAATTAAGATCGGCACAGCAAAAAACGAGACGCACACCAGCTACGCCAGAAGACTTGTTAATCAACATAGAACTGGTACTATTAGCCATCGGACGTTGGGGTTCATACTGAGGGGAGGATCTGAGCACCTATGGACATGTCCGGAGTGCAATGAGGATAACCCAACTAACTAACTAACTAACTAACTAACTAACTAACTAACTAACTAACTAACTAACTAACTTCTTATTCTTATAATTCCGTCCACTATTTTACTCTCAGATACTATTTTCCATCCGCACAGTAGGTGTGGCTTTCCATGTTTGTCTCAGACACAATTTTTCCGTAGCTTCCCCGTCATTTGAGTGGAGCCTTAGTCAAAACAGCCTATATTCCTGCCCAATTCATTAGCACATGTCTGACTCAGTCTTAGACCACACAATACAAATCAGTTCTCTACCTGGTCAGGGCAGACATCGACAACCTGAAACTTTACTTTTCTGTAGCATCTCCTGGCCTTGTGGAAATAGAGGACCACGATATCACTTAAGATGGAAGCCTGTAGAGAGATAGGACAATAAGAAACTGGGTTTTATGCAACTTTAGTTCAATATCAACTTAACTATGTAACGCCTCAGTTTACATCATCGTTGTCGTTATCCTCATCATCCTCATCATCATCGTCTCATTCATAAAATTATTCATCTTTTAGGTTTATTTGGATTTCTCCATTTATGTTATTGTTCTTCTTGTTCCCAATCTTGCTTCACTATGACTTCTTTATGTTCCTGTGTTTCTTCTAAAATTACCACTAATACATTTACTTCTATTATTACTTCTATTTCTTCTCCCTCTCCTACTACTACTACTTCTAATCCTATTATAATAATTACTATTACTAAATCTACTCTGTCGACAACTTTAACGACTAACTACTAATGCTGCTATGTTTCTTCTTCTACTACTACAACTACTACCACCACTACCACTATTACAACTAGTATTTCTGCTACTAATGCTGCTGCTGTTGTTGCTGCTGCTGCTACTACTACTACTACCACCACCACCACTACTACTAGTTTTTCTGCTACTACTGCTACTACTACCACCACTACTACTAGTATTTATGCTACTGCTGCTGCTACTGCTACTATTACTACTACTATTACTATTAATATTACTACTTTTACTACAAATACTAACGCTAATAGTTCCTTTTTTTTCTTTGATCTTTAGCCACTACGATCTTTATCATTTTTCTTGTTATGTGATGTATCAACGGCCAACATTATTTTCTCACCTCTTGATTCATGAATGTATTGCACTTTGCTACTCAAGCTCTGTATTTGTTAGTCAAAATGAATATAAACACACCATGACAAGCACTTGTGATATATAATAAATAAACACAACAAAATAACTTACAACGCCCATCAACGCCATGCCACTGCCCACGTTAAGCATTAAATTGACAAAAGAAAATCTCCCAGCACGACCTCGCACCTCCACTAGAAAATGCACGCCGATTGCCTTGTAGAGATTCCGGTAGTACTTCACTGTACCGTCGGCGTCTCTCATATAGAAATGATCAGCGTATCTGAGGAAAGTAGCAAACTGTAGGGTATATCTTATACAACACTACTACTCATTTAAGACTGGGTCGACCTGAGATCCAGGGTTACGATTTAAAAAAAAGGCCAGCTGCATGTGAACATACGGCATTCGCATTGACAAGCGAGCATCTTGTAGCTACACAACGGGTGCTTCCTTGAGTGTATGTGTGTGCATATAGATATACATATGCGTGCATGCAGACATGTGTATATGCACTCCTATGTGGGCGTGCCCGCGTGTGTGTGTTTATGGGCACATGTGTGTAGCAAACACGCATAAGATCATATCCACGTGGGCGTGCAGACGTTTATGTCATGTGTATATAAGTAATTGCAAATGTATGTCTATATATGCGTGTGGATATGTATAGTGCACACCAGTCCCCTCCCTAACAACCCTCACTAGGTACTGTAGTACCGGTTCAAGCCACTAGTTTTGCTGCAATTAACATTTCTTAGCCAACATGATAGGCACAAAGAACCCAGACCACAAATTGATCCGATACTGCTCCAAGTTGATTAATAGTAGTTGGGTTTTTTTTATTTTTTATTTTTTTATAAATGGATGCAGGGAAGAATGATTAGAGGGATGAGAAAAGAATCGTATCAGTCTTTTAACATAAGTTTATTCTTACTGAATGAGATAAACTATTGTGAGAACTAGTATATTTATTACAGGAGGCTTCTTCATCTGTTTTCGTCTCACTGACACCTGCTTTTTGTGTGTGCGTGCAGGTTTCAGCTACTTCATTTATCCTTCTCTGTCTTGATCTTTCTCTAGCCTTCCCCCCAGATGTTCTAGTGTTTAAAAAAAAGTCTAAGATGCAGTTAGGTCTGGCTGCATCCACACTAGATGGCTGAACAATTTGATTCTGTCTCATCCAGACATGATCTTATTCATGACTTTCTCTCTGCTGGTATTTGTAAATCTGACACGTTTTGTGTTGTTAATAACCTTGCTGGAGACAGCGCATTGCACAAACACTTATTTTCTGTTCTAACGCCCTACTGATATTCTATTAGGATTTGTGGCTCAGAGGTTAGTGAAATATATTCACAGTGTTATACATGACATTCAAAAGGATTCGATTCCCACGCATGCAGTTTAGAGGTAAGACTATCCATCCGTGGTACTAGTCACTTCGTGAAGGTGACAGCCATATCGACACGTAATACTCCAAGTGGGCCCATTGCAGCCTACCACATTTGTAAAGACTGACAATTTTTTTGTGTGGTTCTGTCTGGAACCCCTGAAGGTAACAATGTTATGTGAAGTGGCTACAAAGCGATCTCATTCTTCTGGAGGGAATAACTACCTTGTATAAAGAATACAAACGCATGTTTCACAACAAGACAAAGTGGTAAGTTAGTTAGTCGATTGATTCTTCTGACTGCACATTAAAACATTGAGTTCATAAGTGTTCCTTTCCCGTCGTTAGTAAATCCCGTAGCGTGTAGCGGCTCATTAAACCAGTCCTGTGTTAGTTTCTTATTCTTCTTTGGCTTCAAGAATAGTGCTCTTGTCTGGGTACACCTCTTATAACATGTTGTTATTTCAGTCTCGTCATTGTTGCAGATTCACTGTTATCATTTAGTTGTCGCAAACTTCTTACTTCTCGTAAAGCATTCAGAATGTCAGCCTGGTCCATGGTTCGTCTGTCCTGCACCGTAGCTTTACCTGCACGCCGATCAGCTTGCTCATTTTCTTGCACACCTGCGTGCCCGGGCACACATATGAAACCACTTTGGAGACTTCAGCCATTGTCTTCGGACCCAGTCCATCTCCATCTTCCTGGAGATACTCACTGAGTCACAAAACAAGCATTTCCGGGAACAGGGTTGTGTCTCCAGCCATGTTATTTCTTTAGTCACTGCCATGACCTCCATAGTCAAACTACTTGAGGACAAGGCAACAGCACCAGAATCTTGCTTCACAATTTTAACTCCAGCCTGAGCTGTGAAAGTCCTAGAGATTCTCACGTGGCGAACCACCGATTCATCTGCGTACATGACATCATTCTCCTTTAGAGAATTCTCGAAAATCAAAGCCGGCACTTCTGCCTCAACAGCGGCAGGACTTTGTGGTCTGCATTGTCTGTCTAGCCTTGAGTGGCAATTATCATAGTGAGTTCTCCTGTGCACTATATTGAAGAGAAAAATATAACCACCGCCTCAAAAATATAATGTCGCAAAGGGCAACTAATTATGTTTTTTTTCCTGCACAGTCGTAGTGAATCTGATCCAGGGGCTAGAATAAAGAAGTCTGCATAAATGTAAGACATATTATGTAAAACGGAGATGCAAGCAAAACTCAAGTTCTTGACTCTTTCAATACCAAGGAATTTGCCAGACGATCGATGGTTACATTCTATTTAGTGCACAATTCTTCACTTTCTCTATCCCATTCTTCGGTTATGTTAACCCCTTATTTTTCCAATTTCTACTATAACAAACTTCCTATTTTAACCTTTTTTTTCCAGTTCCCGCTAAAAAACATCTATTATTTTAACCTTCAAGTTTCTACTATAACACTTCTCTTATGTTGAACCTTATTTTATATTTTTTTTTTTTAAATAAAAATAATTACCGAGTAAACTATAAATAGACAGCCATAAAATACACTTAATACATAACGAATAAAGAAAAGCTATGGACAAGAATAAACTAGATGCAATACATAATGAACAAACGCATTCTATAAATATAAAACCATAAATTCAACTCAATACAAAAGGAACTAAGTATATCTACAGAAAACAATGAGACAAAAATAAATAATCAACCAGTAAACTATACTTATAAAACAATAAATGACATTCAATTGACATTAAACAAGAGACTTCTATAATTAGACAACCATAATATCCACTCAATACACAAGGAACAAGAAAAATCTACAGACAATAGGAGACATTATTAAAATATCAGCCAGTAAACTTTAAATCGACAACCATAAACAATAAACTACATTCAATAGATAATAAACAAGGAAAATTTACAGACAACAATAAGAGACATAAATAAATAATCAACCAGTAAACTATAAATAGACAACCATAAACTACACTCAAATAATGAACAAGGTAAATCTATAAACAGACGAAGATAAGCCACATTTAGTACATACCCAACAAGTAAACTCTACAAAACCTCACTAACTTACCGGAAGTTGAAACCTTCAGACACCGTAAAATTGCCACTGTCTTTCCGGCGGAAGAAGTACTCGGGCAGGCAATAATCGCCGCTAAAGTCGAGGTCACAATTCCACTCTATTATAATCTTTACAATTGCACCCTGCAAGATAGATGACGGGTGAAACACGAGGTCTTGTTCCATCATCTTGACGTGGCTGTCGACTAGCGTGTGCCATTATGTTGCCTACATCTTGTGACATTCAGGTGTATGTATGAGTTCGCGTGCTGGCACCAGTATGTGCCTTTATTTAGCCCATATCTTGTGATTTCTAGCTGCATTTATGAGTTCGTGAGCTGACACCTTTATAAGCCTTTATGTTGTCAACATCTTGTGATATCATCTTCTTCTTTTTCTTTTTCTTCTTCTTCTTCTTCTTCTTCTTCTTCTTCTTCTTCTTCTTCTTCTTCTTCTTCTTCTTCTTCTTCTTCTTCTTCTTCTTCTTCTTCTTCTTCTTCTTCTTCAGAGGAGGGAGAGGATTCTTCTTTCGGATTCTTCTTCTTCTTCTTCTTCTTCTTCTTCTTCTTCTTTTTCTTCTTCTTTTTTCTTCTTCTTCTTCTTCTTCTTCTTCTTCTTCTTCTCTTCTTCTTCTTCTTTCTTCTTCTTCTTCTTCTTCTTCTTCTTCTTCTTCTTCTTCTTCTTCTTCTTCTTCTTCTTCTTCTTCTTCTTTTTCTTCTTCGTCTTCTTCTTTCTTCTTCTTCTTCTTCTTCTTCTTCTTCTTCTTCTTCTTCTTTTCTTCTTATCTTCTTCTCTTCTTCTTCTTCTTCTTCTTCTTCTTCTTCTTCTTCTTCTTCTTCTTCTTTGAGTCTATTCTTCTTCTTTTCTTCTTCTTCTTCTTCTTCTTTTTATTCTGTAAACCCTGGCGGAAAGTTATGGTTGTTCATCCACTTCTGGACTGTAGTCCTGTTCCAAAACGTGAGTGTTGCGTGTGCATCCGTTTTACAGATCTGACTTATCAGTATGCATACTGCTAGTTCCTTGCCTCTCAGGCAGATGTACTCCGACTTCGAAGGAAGCTCCCAATTAGTCGACACTACTATATGATAATGGGTAGGCAGTTGGTCTATTCTTGTTTTCGCTATAATAGTTATCATCATGCTGCATCTATCAGCTCGATGGCTGACACCTGTATGTGCTTTACTGTTGCTCACGTCTTGTGATCTCCAATTGCCTGTATCAGCTGGCACCTATATGTTCCGTATTTTTCTGATGCTTCCATTTGAGTTGTGTTTAGCTGCGTTCAGAACCGACAATACAGCACTAGGGGAAATTCTCATAAATCACCCTGTCTAAATTTTCAGCATCAATTGCAGCGTTCGAGTTTTGATGATGTCACTAGCAGTCTGACTGTACGTCAGTCTCACTTTTTCCCCGACTGTTGAGTGTCAGTCAAAGTCCCTTGGTCACTTTCTTCTACACCATCCTCTTGACAGCATGATGATCTATTTGTGCCTCTGCACTGTTCCCCATGACGTCTACCCAATGTGACGAACTAGGTCCAAGAGGGAAGACTAACTGTTCACCATGAGGCCAGGGTCTTTAAGTTAATTTAGTTGCGTATCCTTTACAGGACGTTGCAAAACCAACCACAGCTTTTGTGTATGGCTATTGTAGTTTTTCTAGGCACATTTTACTTTCAGTAGTTTGTCATTGTTTACTACTGCTGCGATCGAACCAGGCATCCTGGTATTACGAAGCGGGTTCGCAATGCCTAAGCCTCAGACGCCGTCAAAGGGTCTTGACCACACATAGTCATGCAACAGTTTAACCACCAAGAGGGCGCTGCGTGGTC